CTGCATTCATTCAAATCTATTAACTGTGTAACAAATGAAGACGAAGCCACCAACTATCCAATTGAATTTTGAAACTCCTTGGATGTGCCTGACTTACCACCGCACAATTTACGACTAAAGGTTGTCTCCGTAGTAATCATGCTTGGAAACATAAACCAACCAAAACTGTGTAACGGAACGCGTTTGGTGGTAAGTAAATTGATAAACAATGTGATTTACGAGACGATACTCAAAGGGAAATTCGAAGGTGAGGAAGTTCTCATTCCGAGGATCCCGATGATCCCAACCGATATGCCGTTTCAGTTTAAACGACTTCAATTTCTAATCCGTCTTGCATTCGCCATGACCATTAACAAATCTCAAGGCCAATTCTTGAAAGTTTGTGGTCTGAATCTAGAAAATCCATGTTTTCCCATCGACATTTATATGTGGCATGTTCACGGGTCAGAAGACCATCTGCGTTATTTGTTCTTGCGAATGATAATAAAACGAAAACTGTCGTCTATTACAAGGTGCTTCACTGAAGACTGCAACCCATACACCAAAATACATGGCCAATAAAGAATCTTTAAAATACTTGTTTTTTTTTTTATTAAAAAAACAAAACCTGCTCATTTATTGCCTTAAGGCGGAACAAAGTTCGTCGGGTCAGTAGTATTAGTTTAAAAAAAATCGGTTCGTGGCAAGTTATTGAAAATAAAAACAGGAAAAACAATTTTAATGGAAAAAAAAAGGGTTGTAGTGTGAGAAAAAACGAAGAAAATAAAAGTTGCTGAAGTAAAATTCGTTAAAAAACAACAAACAAGTAAAAAAAAACCGGAGTGAAGTTATTTCGCTCCGTACAGCCTGTACTAAAAGGGGCAAACATCGCCGTCGTTGTGTGGACGTCTTGATTCGATTTTTGATGCGATTTATCATTCTGTAAAAATGTGTAGGTACTTATTTGAAACGTAATTTTGTAAAATAAATAAGGTATCAATATTTATAATAATATAAACCATAGATAATTTTTTTTGGATTACTTAATTGATTACAGGTATATTCATTTTACAGGTAATTCATAAAGTTTGTTTGCGTAGTAATGTTTATTTAAAAATGTATTTGATGGGATTTAAATGACACATGCCCGCGTATGGGTTCTTTTTTAAATCAAATCTCTACGTTTTGATACTTAGGTAACGATGGATCGTTTGAAGCTATTAGAAATAATTTAACTAACATACAATTATTCTGCTGTAAACTTCCTCACAAAATAGGGTTATGTAAATTTGAAATATCCCAGGTGTGGTTATTGCTTTCGAAAATGAAACAAAATGTTTCAGAATTCGACAATGCTGCTAGTAATGCTTTTCTCCAGAAGTAGTATGATACTACACGAGATCGTTGCTCCGTCTACTTTTCTTGTTTCCAAAACAACAGAAGGAACATACTTACGTCTTATTTTTTTTTTATTTCCTTCCTTTCCCTTTCTTTAAAAAGACAACTCCCGCATTAAGAATGTATCCTGTGTCGCGGGGGACTTTACAAACATACATGAAACGGACACAAGGAACACCCAGACTCAGAACAACAATTTGTGGATCACACAAAGTGTCGTCCCATGTGGGGATCGAACCCACAACACTCAGCGTGGTAGGAAGCGCCGTGGCGACCGCTGAAAACACTACGTCATTCGTACAGTCAATAGTATTTAATAGTACTTACTTATAACTTATAACTCGTGTATCCATACTTATATTACAAATGTGTAAGTAAGTTTGTTTGATAGCTTTCACGCCTAATGGAAAATTACATTATCAACCAGTAACATAACTTTTTACCGCGTGACATACACGCGGGCGGAGCCACGGGCAAAAGCTAGTAGTAATATAGTAGTAATTGTATTACATTCATTACCAACAATCGTGCCCTAAAATCAAACGATCTTGATTTTTCTTTTTAGATTTATCAAATTTAAGTCTCCTTTAGTTAAGGGTTAAAATAAGTCTTTGATATTTTTTCCAAAAGGGGTTTTAAATTAAAAAAAAATAGTCAAAAGACTTCAACCATTTTTAGGTACTGCTTCGCAAATTTTTGGAAACATTTTCAAATCCTAACCCTTTTTTTTTCCCGTGCGGAAATCCCCTCGGATACCACCTGTCGGTGGCATGTCGGACACGAACCGACTAAAACCGCACGCCTTCGCCGGGTACTAATAGCCGGGGAACCAGGTATACCCTAGAAAGGAAGGCCCTGGTGCCCCGACATACCTCGGGTCATCTACAGACGAGTAGACGACCCCCGCCCCGTGTGGGAACCCCATGTTCCCTGTGCTCCCTGGAAGCGAGCGCGCTTCGCAACGCGCTCGCCGCCACCCCGGCCTGCTTCTGCTAGGGTGACAGATGGCCTCACCTGTCACCCCCAGGCCTGCGCTTATGGAGGACGGAGCTCGTTCTGCGACCTCCGGCGCCTGAGTCGCCTGCGCTGCCTGGCCCGTGCCCGGGCCTGGCGGGCCGGGAGAGTTCTAAACCTCTCCCGGTCCCGCTCCGCCGTCTCCTTCGCGAGCATAACTTGCTCGCAGAAGGAGACGGCAGAGTTCCACGCACTCTCGCTCCGCACGATAGCCGCAATCAGGCTATCGAGCGAGAGAACTCCCACTCCGATGGCCGCCACGAGGTCTCGCCTCTGCTCAACCCACGCCGGGCATTCTGCCAGCGTGTGGAGAGCCGTGTCCACGGTCTGGCCATCGCAGTGGTGGCACTCAGGCGTTGGCTCCTTGCGGATCAGACACAGGTGATCTCCGAAACATCCCTTCCCAGTGATCACCTGCGTCAATCGGTATGAGAGGGTCCCGTGACGCCTCTCGAGCCAATCCTCCATAACGGGTCTTACCGCCGCAATGACGGCGTGCCCAGCGCTCGGTTGCCCGAGTCGTTCCCTCCACTCCCCTATGATGACCTGGCGGAGTTGGGATTTCCGGTCATCGATTTCTCGAATCTCGGGGCATCGACCCAACTCCTGCGCCTCCTTGCGCCACTGATACAGTGCCGCAAGGGCTCTCGCCTCCAGGTCCCACGGTGGAGTTCCGGCCAGGAGACTCGCTGCCTCAAAGGAGATCGTGCGGTACCCCCTTATGATCCTGATGGCCAGCATTCGCTGCGGTCGTCGCAGTATCGCGACGTTGCTGGCCTTCAGGGCCCCCGCCCATACCGGGCACCCGTAAAGGGCCATGGACCGCACAACCCCCGAGTAGAGTCTCCTGCAGGAGTCATCGGGTCCCTTCATGTTGGGCAGCAGCCGCGCCAACGCACGCGCTGCCCCAACCAACTTGGGGACCAGACCTCGGAAATGATATCCGAAGTCCCATCGGTCAAATCCTAACCCTAAGCTTGTTAAATAGATTAATTCTTAGGAAGCTCAGCCTTTGGACACGGATGCTTATCAGATTGAAACATTGATTGGGTATTATTTATTTCACATTTTTTTTCCAGTTCAGTAACTTTGTGTGATACTTAATAACTTTAAACCAAGAATCCTTGTATACATTAAGTTTATCTACATAGTATGTAGATACACCTAGATACATATACAAGGATACTTTGTTAAGTTTTAGATACCTACTTAGGTACCTACAGTGAGTGTGGTAAGAGCTGACTAAGAGAGTAAACTACGTATTACAACAGCACTGCAAATTTAAGGAAAACTTGACACAAACCCTATACCAACTGGGGATGAAATTAATCACAATCACATGTGGTAGATCATATGATTTATAAATCATATCCTAACGGCTGTGACTAATTTACAAATCTAAAATAAGTAATCTTTGATAAAAACTTTGGTTTATTTTAATACCATTTGTCTTTGTCTATGACTAAATCACAATCACATGTGAAATCGATGTCTTAAACCAATCATTTTAACAAATGAATATGATTTAAAAGTAGCAATAATTTCCATGTCTAATACCAACTCGTCTGGCCAGCGTGATATCACATCATATCATTATACAGCAACAGCCTTTAACAAACCACTGCCCGACATAGGCCTCTCCTTAGAAAGGAAGTTTTGGCCTACTTTAGCACCGATTTCGAATTCGGAGCGTTGTAGTCGGTATAGATATAGTAGGCTTATGTCCAGTAGTGGACTATTAAAGGCTGTTGATGTATGATGATACAATTACTTCGGTATCTGTCTATCTCTCTGATTATGTGGTGAGACCCTTTCTCTTTCTTTTATTTTAGTAATCTAGCATTTCAAAATGAAAACTAATCCTGAAATAACCTTAATAAAGGACAGTAATAGATGAAAAATTTAAGTGATAAACGGCTTTATTTGTTTCATGCGGAATAAGACTTCATTTTATTATTATTGTGTTTAAATTTTTTATTACAAATTGTTAAACTGCAGTTGTTACGATACGGTTCGGTACCGCTTTTACTTTCCTGTAAATGGTACAATATACGCATGTATTTCCTTTTAAAGAAAATTTTGTGACTAGAACGATGGCTAACGACTTACACCTACGGCGACACCATCCTCAGTCTGATACAGTTCCAAAATCACCTGTGCAAAGCAACTAAAGCACTACCCATATGTTCATAAAGACTGGAAACAATCCGTAAAACTTGTAGTACAAAGCATTTATTCAAGTGGGACTGAATGGTCATCGTACCGCACGCGAGCAGCTCGTAATCACGCATTTTTACACACGTGAACGAGTAGAGTGCAGTAGAAACATTCAACACTTGTTGCAATCGGTAACAGATATGTGTCTCGCTTTTTGCCGTACATTTTATCGGAGAAATTGGCTTGGAAAATGGTTCATGATTATTTTCAAGTTCAGTTACGTAAGCACGCGTGCAGAGAACTAGTGCGGAATAGCGGATGTTTGGTGGTGCTCATCGGCTAAGTGGCGCGCAGTTATAAGCTCTCACCCGCTCCACTGCCCGTCAGTCGGTGCTGGACCAACCTCATACACGTTGATTTATAGTTTTAGTGTTGTGTGTGACGAAACAAATATGTGCACCATATTCCGGATATATGTCGTATCAGTTGTCTGTGTGTTAGTGGCAGAAGGTCACGTTCATGGGCCTCGAAGATCCCGTAGGATGGAGGTTGATGACACACAAAACGAAATCGATAGTGCGAGAGCTGAGGAAAGCTCATGGTGGTGGACAGCTGAGCTCTCTGTTTTACAGAAACTTTACGACGATTGCAGTGCGCAAGCGCACATGTCAATGTGTTTGAAGGGCAAGGCTCTAGTAGCGCTCACGAGGGCGGTGGAACAGGTGACACAGTTTCGTGTTTTGTGTTATAAAATTATCATGTTCCATGGTGTCAACAGCGTAATTATAATTTTACTTGTGTTGTACAGGAAAACGTTCAGCTCACTGACGGGCTGACGTTAGTAAAGCAAGCTGACGCACCCTCCGCGATAGCGGAGCCGCGCTTCTTCCCTGGAATGTCTACAGAAGACAAGCTCGACACCATGTTACGTACAAAATTCGAGCAATTGTTAAATACACATACCGTTTCTATGGATCTAGCATCGGAAGGCAGGAGTAAAGGTAAACTCTTTGCACAGACGCATTAAATTGGATATATTTTTTTTTATTTTGTTTATACATGTGTCATAAATTATTATTTTAGGTAAGAAAGTCTTGCCCTACTTGTTACTCGGTATTTTCACTACCGTGACCATTGTGGGAGGTATGGCGCTGAAGACATTGGCTGCTATTGCCGGTAAAGCTCTGATCGCCAGTAAAGTTGCTTTGACAATTGCTGGTATAATCGCCCTGAAGAAATTATTCAGTCACGACGGAGCGCCCGCTGAGACTACCTTCCAAGTGCATGCCGACGGACACCATAGGCAAGTTATAGTTATAAATATTTCATTAATTTAATTGAACCTATATTCTATGGTTGAAGCTCGAATTCAACTACTCTATAGAGATACCCTAAAAAAAATATTTGATGGTCCCCTATTTTTTTTTTATTTTGTTCCTAAACTGTTTATTTAAAATTAAGATACTGACGCTGATGACATTGTTTAATATATTTTAATCAAAAATGTTTTAATTCTAGTCTTTAATTCGAAGGCGGAATCTATATGTGGTGAGGCCAGCGAAGGCAGGCGCGGTGGATCCGTACTTTTACGGCGAGCAGACGACTGTCAGCATGTAGAGCGGCTGCTGATCCTGCCACCAATACGCCTTTCGGTCTTGGTGCCTCATTCAAATTATATGAAGCCTTTGCCCGGCCCACCATCGTCACATGCTCCACTGCGCCAATAGACACAAAATAACCTCAAGCCAAAGTACTGTCCGATTTACGAAAATCTTTCTCAGACGTAACGGTCGTCCATTCTGAGTTGTCAAATCTATGTCAGTAAATTATTTAATGTAATTTATTTGTTTGTGACTACAAGTGTATTTTTAACCATAAATTAAATTATTAAAGTGATGTTAGAAATAAAATTTAAAAAACATTACATTCAATCTGGTTTCATTTTAGACCTCGTGTTTTATGCTTTAATCTAATCACATAATGACGACTACATAGATTATAGTACATTAGTAACATTTAGTGCAAACGATAATATTGTTACTAAACTAGTCGGCAGATTAGTTGCACAAAAAATGTAATCGTTTATTAAATATATTGAATACTAATGATTTAACAGTCTGTAGATATGTGCCTGGAACTTGAATAACTTAAGATGTAGTGTATGTGAATATATATACATAGAACTAATTATTGCAACCAGCAGCTTTCTTTACACGCTCTAGTAGAGAGGAGTCCGAGAAATGTGTCGCGATTTTCCGTTAATGTGGGTGCTACGGCTATGAACGTGAAAAGTAGAAAGTTTTAATCGTTTCACTGCACATGCACGAATACTGTTAGAGTGCATATTACTCTATGATAATCTTGTGTGTACTTTTCATATTTATTTATGACGAGGCACGCTACTTACACAATCGATTAATTCTTTCGAGCTGAATAAACAATTTACTAATGAATGAAAAGATGGATGTGTGCACGCAGTTAACTAGCTTGATGGCTGTCGATTTTACAGATAGAGAGGTGGAGTAGAGAGGAGTGTGGTTGGGCGTTTGTCCGGCTGCGGAAGGTCAGCTCGTTGATTAGCTGTACGCCGGTAAAGGCCAACCACAGTGCACGTTTGTGAGCCGGGTGCTGTTTATAATGCAGATATGTGTTTGCCCAATCGCTGCACGCTACGCTGGCTATATGGCATCGTTAATGCGGCTGCGTCTCTTTGCATACGCAAATATAGGGCGGGCGGACCAACGTTGATTAAGCGGTACAGCGGCGGCGGCAAGGGTATATTCGTCTCATTCCTGTATCAGGAATCGTGAGCTTCACTTGATTAGTTTTTGCTATGTATGTTTACTTGCCACTGAGGTCAAATGAAATCCATAATTTATAGCTGAGAACCCACACCAGTCTACTCACAAACAGAAATAAGTAATTTTAATCACCGTTTTATAGTTATGTATGTTGCACCAAAATATGTTAGTGACGAATGGTGTATGGGCTAAACCTTACCGATTTACTGTACCTTATAAGTGTTTGTTTATAAATGTGACACGCAAGTGTATAATCTTATCTTTTCACAAAAATATAGATGTATAAAACAAACGAAAATCTGAATCAAACTACCGTTTTAAGATCCCGGGCTATTATTACTCGCTTTACACTTAATATTAGAAATGTTCTATACACTTGACGTTGTGGTGATTTCCCTAGAGATATTGAGACTACGGGTGACCGCAACGTGAGCTAATATTATCTGCTTGCCATTACTATTGGTTTAGGTGTTGCTGTCCATCTCCCAACTACTCAATACTTGATAGCTGTCTATAATCTCGAGTTAGGCTGACAGTTAAGCTCAGGACTGCTAGATTACTGATTTAGGCGCTCATGCAAATCATTGTGCTGAATTGATGTTATCTAATTGTGGATATAGATAGATGAATTTTTTGGAGAAAATTTTTTTTTGTATGTTGCAACATACTTTCTTTATGTAATGCAATCATATTCATAAAACAAATCTATGTAATGCATTCTATGTGAGTGTAGGTAAATATAGAACGCGAGGCTGCGGGCGTCACTCGCACAGCGAAGTTACTTTACGGGCGAATGGTCAAAGTATTCGACATAAACCTATTTTGTTCTCTTCTTATATTGGATGTACGCTCCCTTCTTCGCCTTCACCCACTGTCGCTGTCCACTGGCTAGGGTTGACACTGTGTTTAATTATTATTCTCCGTAAACAAGACTAAAACTGTAGAAAGTTTTATTAGTTGGGTATTGATGTCGTGTTTAAACTAAAATGATAGAGTTAAAAATAATGTTATATCGCTGTATTTCATTGCTTTTTAAATATTGCAATCTGTAAAATTAAAGTTAACACGTAAAAAGTTAATACTAAGTATATTAACGTATCTATACTAATAATTTTCTATCCGGATTACGACGTTACGAAATTAAATATGTTGGTATTAAATTAAAGATTTCAGGTACTATTGGAACATCTTTATTTGTTACTGTATTTATTATAAATCAAACCAACAAGTCTTTGTAAATTCGATGTAAGTTTAAAAAATATAATGGCAAAAAAAATACAGAACTTAAAAACGCTACTAAATTTTAAACTTCCAGGCCTGCCCTACCCTAAAGAGTGTGGTATTCCTGCAGGCGAATAGTAACAGTGACTTTTGTTGGGTGTTTTTACATTCGTAGATGTGTCACATACTGAAATTCTACAACTTAGTGCCACCCGTAGATATAGGTTCGGTTGTAACAGATTTTCTCGCAAGAATACCGGTCAAATCAACATTATAGTAGACACTTTCGCTCTGTTACGGTTTGTTCAACTTATGTTACGTCGCGTAGCATGGTGTAGACACTGTGAGCGAAGTGACTAGAGGGGTGGTGGCTAGGGGATGCCCCCAGGGCGGTGCACTCTCCCCCTTCTAAGGATCTTGTAGTGAACTCATCACACAACTCAGTGACCGTAGATTCGTCACAATATGCTATGCAGACGATCTGACTATCCTCATCAGTGGTCCCTTTGAGAGCGTTACATGCGATCAAATGAGACTTGCATTGAAGATGGTTGAACAGTGGTGTGTAACACACAACTTGAAAACTTAAGTGAATTCATTGAAAACAGACATGATTATGTACACAAATAAACGTAGTGTTGGAAACCTCAGACTGCCCAAGCTATTTGGAACGCAACTAGCTCTTACCAAAGAGGTCAAATACCTAGGAGTAATACTGGACAGTAAACTCCTGTGGAATAAGCACCTCGATGAAAAACTAAACAAAGCCTTCATTGTCTTTTGTCAATGCAAACGTCTACTCGGTAAAAGCTGGGGCCTATCACCAAAGATTACACTATAGCTCTATAGAACAGTTATGAGACCAATAATTACTGACGGTGCTATTGTCTGGTGGCTGAGAACAGAGCTAAGCACCGTCATAAACAAATTGCAGCAATTCCAGCGACTCCCATGCTCTGCGGTCATTGACTGTATGCGCACAACGCTGCATATGCGCTCATTTGTTTTTTCATTGTGACGTCCTTTCGAAAATTGTGTGTCGCTATCAAAATGAATTTAACTCGTGAATATTTTCGTTCAACGATTTTATATGATTTTCGTTGTAGCTTAAGTCAACAAGAGAGTTGCCAGAGACTTTAATTGGCATTTGGTGATGAAGCACCATGTCGCAGCTCTGTGTATTCGTAGTTTGGAGAATTCAGACGTGATCATCTCCATGATGAGGTACCTGAAGGTCGGCCGGCGACTGCGGTTACATACTCTAATATTGCCATTTTACATGTGCATCTGAAGTTTGGCAAGCTTTGCTTCGATGGAGCTCGATGGAGACCGCATGACTTAACGAAGGACCAGAAACGACTACGGGTCCAGCGGTGCCGTAAAATGATAAAAAAGTTTAACGGAGGACAGTCATTGGCTGTCTATAATATCGTAACAGGTGACGAAACCTGGGTGTACTGCTTGGGAACCCAAAAGAAAAAGCCAGTCGGCAGAGTGGGTCTTTCCATTTGAAGATTTGCCGACGAAGAGTCGAAGCATTGGTAAAAAAATAGTTTTTTATTATATTATATTACACTACAGTATCGCTTGAAGATCAAAGAACAGTGACTGCAGATTGGTACGTCAACACTTGTTTGCCCAGAGTCTTAGAAAGAAAAAGTTCACGAAAAGCGTCCTCGAAGCAATGTCCTCCTTCATCACGATAACGCATCCTCACATTCCGCTAAGGTAACAGAAGCCTATTTGAAGACTTCAAATGTTGAACTGATGACTCATTAGCCTTACAGCCTGAACCTCGCACTCTCCGACTTCTTTTTGTTTCCAAAAATTAAAGACAAACGTAGAGGCACACGTTTTATGAGCCCTGAATCGACGTTGAATGCGTTCCATGAAGACATTGAAGAGATCCCTAAAGAAGATTGGTCCAACTGCTTTGTACAGTGGTTTCAGCGAATGAAAAATGCATTAATTGCGAGGGAATATATTTCGAAAAACAATAAATGTATCGTAAGACATATATCTAGTCTTATATATAAGAATCCCGAAACTTTCAGCATACTGTATAAAGTACACGATAAGTATAGCACAATTAATTACTAGTCTGTTTCATAGTAACAGGAATGAAAAATCATTGCCATTTTTTTGCAGAATTAGATATTTAAAAGTCTTTCTAATATCTAGCTATAATTATCTAGCGTATGTATTACAGATTGCTTTTAGGAAGACTATCTGCTTTTGACATATTACACCTTACAATGTACAATTTTAATAAAGGATTCGATCGTTGTTTCTATGGCTTAATTCATTAAAACTTACATATTACAGCTTGATGATTGGACGGAAGCAACCCTGAGTCTGGGTGGGGGTATGTGAGGAAGTTTTGTCGGGAATTATGTTGGTACGTGCCAAAGCCATTATTGTTGCGAGAAAAGTTCATCAATTTCATTTCTAGCCCCATGCACGTACGCTGAGCCTGCGCGAACGATCTGCTACCGTATCTTATCTTAAAATGATATCATTCACATATGTATTTAGAAGTAGCGAATATATGAGTTAATAATAGAGTTGGCAAATGAATAGAGTAAAGCTTAATCCTCTAAAAAAGGCAGCCTCTGAGCCATTGAGCTGACTGTAGAAGAGTGTTTAAAAATAGCTAAAAATGTTTTCTAAATAGGTGTTTATATTTCGCGTAAATATAAGTGGAA